CACGCGCTCGTTCGTCAATGCCTATAGCAATATTGAGCTGATTCGCGGTCATTCATTTTGTTTTAGCACTTTCACGTATCTTGCCTTGTTCCGTCTACTACTAGCAGATGGGCATACCCCCACGGTAGGTCATTCCCCGCAAGTCTTGCCTCTCACCCGGGGCAGGGGCCTCCAGAGAGACAAATCTATGCAGGCACTCGGGGCCCAGGAGTGCTGCTATCAACGGCTGGTGCACCATTTCGTAAACTGGGCCTCGTCTCGAGCTCGAACAACTTCGTCGACAACCTCTGGTCAGGTTCCAGTGGTTCGTGATTTTGACTGGAGAGGCACTGGATGCAACTGGTGTATATGCGTCGGCGTGGACCCAGCATCGTAGGATTCTCTTCGAAACGGCTTCCCAGGATGCCCAAAGTTGTCTGGCGAGCCTTTCGTTTACTTTAGGGCTCCTCCCCGTGCTCCGTGGTGAGAGGACATTTGCTTGTGAGGCACGTTTCGACGATTCTTGCCGAAACCGAGAACCAGTGTGTCTTCCCTGGATAATAGACATATCGGTGTTTAGACTCTCAACCGCATGCCCCCCTTGAAAACAGCAATGACCTCTCGTTCGATTGGTCAATAGTGCCTCGGGGCCTGCACTCAATGGGATTCGGACTAAACCCTCATTGGACAGGGCGAGTTCCTGTGTATTGTCTTAACCCCTGACGGAGCGTGTGAGCCTCAAGTTTGAACGGGCTTACAAGCCCCCAACTGTTCTCCTCCCTCAGTTTGCTGCGTTACCTCCCGTACGTGACCACCCTTGTTCGCCGGCTACTAATTAGCCATTGCCTTGCATTCCTAAGCCCGTGAGGCCAGTTATTCCCAGTCGTTTGATTGTATCGTGTACTCCGGGAAAGTTCAAGAAAAGTTTTTGTGCTCTTAATCAAACCCTAAGCTTCTTGGTCATCCCTCTCCCGAGTCCTCGCCCCCTACAACCAGCCCTCCAGCAACCAGCATCGTCCCAAGCGCCCCCCGGTCCCCAACGGCAGACACCCCCGGGGTCTCCATCGAGGTCCGGGACAAAAACCTTACAACTACTAAGACCAAGTTTTGTCAGGGACGTTTTGGGTCTCTGACCGCACATGACTCTATTCTTTATTCTGCAAAAGTGTTTTCCCACACTTTAGGTGGTTGACTATTCCAGTCAATTCCAAAAGTTGAAGGCTCTGTCGGTGCGCCCAACTAACAGATATAAAAGGATATGGGTTCCTTGAACTTCATTCCACGGTGACGTCATAAGGTCACTGCTGAAAGAGGCGTTCAGATTGGTCATGATCACAGTGACTTTTCGAGGTTATTTGGGAAGACACAAAACTGATTTAGATGTCCCTGGGATGTTGTCTTAGAAAAATAAGAGATGTCGAAATAAAATCGCGCTCGAGCCACGGTGAAAAAATCGCTTGATTTTCTTTCTACTTCCCAAACTACAAGATGTTACTTCTGCAGTAAATTTGATTAATTCAGGCTGCAACATGCAGTGAAAACTCACTTGCTGGTTTAAAAACATTCTAGAGCATGTTTCTTTTTGTTCTTTGTATGCTCTAAGGGATGCACCAAAACTTCCAAAATAATTTTTTATAACAATCTATTTCAATGTCTGTATTTCTGCCCCACCAAAATGTATACCTGTATTTCTATTTTCAAATGCTTTTCTGTTTTTCAAATGTGTTTCTGATATGTATCGCAATACATGTTTATAAATGTATTTCAGTATCAGTATTTTAGCTGCTTCTGCCATGTATCCCAGTATTTATATTTCCAAATACATTTGAGAGTATTTCTGCCCAACCCTGCCGTGAATCAGCTCAAAGCAGTGCCATAGATAGTAACAATGTGAAATTTTTTTTATTGCGTACATCAACTCCAAACAATTAGCCAAAACTACTTTATGTGCAAAATATTAATTTATTCATAAGGTAAAGCTAAAGTTTGCAATGAACAGACTCTGAATGGTTGTTTGCAGGTGAAAAAAGATACACCATAAAGAAAGTAATTTCTCAGCTCAAAATTTTCTCCCAAAGTTGGTCAAATGCAAAAGCCCCTAAACTAAAACTCCAGCCCTCAAGTACATCATGCAACACTTCCACTCTGGTGGCAACCAGGAAGCTATGAGAACTATGAGAGTGCTTAAAGAAATACCCCGACTCCGGTTATTTTAAGAGTTCTGTCGGCCGCACTTTCTTTTTGGCACTTCTCGTACGAGGTCGCTGTCTCAACAGCCACTGCTGTGCAGGCTTGAATGCGCTACGTCACTTCAGTTGGAACTGGGATGCAAGAAACAATTCTGCCCCACTTGTGATCTGCACAAATGAAGAGCAGCGGCAGTGATTTGTTTTTTGCAGTCTGAGGGTGTGTCCGGTCCCAATACCTTGTGCTTAATGGGGAGGAAGTATTTTGTCGCAAGGAAGTGGGTTTGAATGGATTGCAAATTTCAAGGAAGGATGCACAAGCGTCGGCCACAAAGAAAAAGCTGGACGCCCATCCATGTCTACGACTGGTGACAACCTTGAGTGTGCAGTTGAATGGACTCTGTCGGATAGACGAATGACAGTGGATGACTAATTGTACATCTCGTGACCCTAAGTGTGAAAATGCTTTGTTGGCTTATAGTATGTTTTGCTTAAAGAAAAGCTGAAGAGCTTTAAGAAAATAATGAGTTAATAGTTGATTCTGACGTGCCTGCCGAGTCCGAATATCACAATCGTTTGACACAAAAGGATCACTAAACGCGAAAAAAAGCGAAGAAAAGAGAAGCGGTCGTCGCAGCAGCATGCCGTTGGCTAATCATGCGTGATGCGCCACTACGTCATAAGAGGACCGTCTCAATTCTCGCTTACCTTGTCATTTGCGGAAGTAGCTGGGCTCCGAGGCTTCTGCTCTTGTAGATCGGGTTTGGCTTCTGATTTTTCTAAATCTTTCAATAGATCCGAAATAGGAATGTGTTCAGAGGACCCTCGACATTACAAAAGTGTGCATTCCAGCCGTTGGCAGAGCAGAAAAATGATCCCCCACAGTAAAAAAAACGGACGCAAGGAACCGCTTGCATCGACGCGACATGGCCGGTTTCACAGATTCAGAAACATACTTTGCTACTTATTGTAACTTAAAACAATGACAACAAACAGAGTGCTGTTGAGGGGACCCTCCCCAATGCAATAGTCAGAGGACAGGAATTCGTCGCACATCGACCTTCATGCTTGGCAGCTGCTGGACACGTAAGCGTGCACACTGCTTTGTTAACCAAGGCTGAATTGGTTTGAAGGGATAGTTTAATCGGCTTCGGGCTATGGGAGAGCTTCCTCTGAGATGGGTGATGAGACAGAATCGCCGTTCTGCCACAGCCATGTCCTTGCATACTTTGCGAATAACTGCGCAGAGGGTCCATCTTTGTGATAGCGGTACCGTCTGCTGTGTTTAGTTTGTTGGCCACCAATTATTATGCCATCACAGCTTTAGAAAAAGCGGAGATCTGTGCTTGGCAGCCCTCAATTTGATGTTGAATTCGTGAAAGCTTTCTGGGCTTCTACATTCACATACTCCTCCCAAAATTTGTTGACTGCATTAGACCACCACCAAGCATTATCATCATCCAATCACATTTCTACGGGACAGAGAACCATTGCATGACACACAAACTTTATACGGAGAATGCTGTGTGACTTGTAAAAAGAGAACCTAGTTCACAGCAGTATGTCACATGGTTTGTATCGCCAAAAAGCACTCCTGAAGAGAATTTGTACCCGTGGAAGGAAAATTTAACAAAATTCATGTTTCATTTAAAAAACATGTGACTTCAAATAGTATCAGCAACTGTAAAAAAAAAGTCCATGCTAAAACGAGTAGCACCGTGAAAGTTGGATGGTGAATTGCACTACCACTTATTATAACAAGCCCTCCTCTCCCAAGTGACTGGGTAGTGGAGTTGGTTCGGGAAATTTGTCACTTCAACGATATTACAAACCAAAACTAAAACACTAATATAAGGCGGTTAACACAAAAGAGACGGTGGAAGCCCGCTCTTTGGCTACATAATCGCTGCTTTTTCAATACACTGTACAGAACTAATAATGTCGTAGCTTTTTTCTAGCCTAAGAGTCGACCTAAAATTCCTGCCAATTTTTGTTTCCTCTTTTCGTGTGCCTTTTAATGCACTGAATTGCCTTCTTACCCTCAAAGATGGTTGGCAGGGTGTCAAGTTCGCATTATGCGGCGGCAGAACGACAACGGCTTGAAAAGTCAATAGAGCACCCTACGAGGGAAGTGCGGCAAGGCGCAGCGGGGTCCCCCTGCCGGACCTTTTGTGACGTTAGCTGACGGGCTTCCTCCTCTGTCCCCTTTCCTTCTGCTTCGGAGGGGCGTGGCTTCAGCGCTACTTTGAAGGTGCTTTTCCGGTTGATCCGCGCATAAAATGACAAAGCGAATACAGTAGGTATTCCTGATGGCTGAGGTCTAATTAACTAGGCTTGGGTTTTTTTTCTTGTATTTAAAACCGCTTCAGCTTCCCTTTAAGTGTCTATGAAAGCTAAACACCTAGAGTAGGTACATAGTAGTGCTATGCCTGAAAAAAAATGTGTGCCCATGCCCTGATGCCATTTTTTTTTTATTGTACTCTTTACTATTGGGGGGGGGGGGGAATGACAAGGTATTATATGCTGTGAATCTTTTGGGAAAGCCAACTGTGAAAATTAAGTTTTTGCATCTGACACGGGATGACACTTCAGTATAATGCTTATATGACTTTTACTATGACCCATAGAGAGTCCGACGTCCGTGCCTAAATCTTGACTGCTCGGCTAACTCTGCTGGTATCGAGGGAATCATTAGAAGTCAATAGAAGATCCATCGTGTTTTTTTCGAGCAATTTCGGCGAGATCTAGTGCACTGGGAACATTCAGTGTTTTCAGTGGAGACATTGTTTATGTCTGGAATATGATAGCTGATTTGAAATGAAATTGGGCTTGCAGGGAGCACTTTGGGGGCTACTCTCCTCTTGCCATTGCTGCTGCGGAGCATCACGAAAGCATTGTCAACATCTTGCTGAGTGTGGTGAGTCGCCACGGTGTCTGTGCATCCACATGCTATAGCATTTGCATTGAAATGGTATATTTTTATGGAAGACTTTCTATGCTGTGTGGGTATAATGGAGACACCATGATTGCTAAGCTGAAAAACAAAAATTGATATAAGTGTGTTGCATATGAAGGCATGTATGCGAATTAGCTACATTGAGGAAAGTGCAGATAAAAGATACATGAAATAAAACATGTAGGAACTTGTAGATTCTCGTAGGTAAAGTAGTACCACATTGAATTAAATGCACTGATGGTAAACTTTCAAAACTAAATATAAGCACTTTTTCAATAGTCTCTCTTTGTCACATCTCAATCTGTCCCGCATATCTTGAAATAAGAGTCAGTGTGCAGTATAAGTATAATTTTTATTAACAAAAATTAATCCAAAATGTATTTACTGGTACTGTATTTCTCAACAAAAGGCGGTACCTTACTTGCTACGATTAAGCCTGTGGTTGTGATAGTTTCGACCACTTTTCACTGACTGGAATTAGGAAATACACTTCGAAGTCAACCATCCTACTTTCCTTGCAAAGTGTGGAAAAAGAGGGGGGAGGTCACATGACTAGTTGGGATATACTTGAGATGCTTTGGGAGTGAGTCACGGGAACTTTTGGTAATCTGTGATGACTAGAATTAGGTCTTTGTTACTCTTCTCGTTACTAAACCCTGATGCTGTACTTTTGAACTTTATTTCAGCTCTTTTTCTATGTTCAAAACTGTCCACACCATTTGTGCATATTATTTACAGAAATTTATTTATTTAGAGAAGCAGCTTGCTGTGCCGAAGCATTATAGCAGGGAAACACAAAATAAAACACATAATCACGAACATAAATACAATGGCAACAATCCAATAAATACTGTTAAATAAAAAAACACAGAAACTCTTCAATGTTAAAAAATTTAGGATACTGAAAAAAAAGATCCTACGTCATCCGTAGTTATATACTGTGTAACATTTGTTTGCACTATGCACACTCTCATTGCTAGATGGGACTGAAGTTTTGAAAATGGCCTTTTCTCATCACTGGGCTCCTGATAGTACAGGGTCTTTTAAAGACACAAACTAAACCTATGATGTTCCACACTTCCTGGACCTTTCCAAAAAAAAAAAAAAGTTAAGTCTTCCCAGCAAAACATAGAACTGTGCATTAGAGAAAGCTTGAGCTACATGAAAATAACTGTATCGGCAGTGATGACAGCTACAGCAGATATCGCTGTTCAAGTCAGAAGTTGCAAAACAGTTTTAGAAACTTTGCAGTGGAAAGGTATTTCTGTGTTCCCTTTATGTGTTTGTTGCTCAGAGAGTTGCTCTCTCTTCATTGAACAATTGTCATCATCATCATCACTAGTTTTATCTTTCTGCGTATGAGGCTTTCAGTTCTCACCTTGTGGCACCTGGCAGAATTCTGCAGGTCATTGTTTCCAGGGCTCAAGGCTTCTGCAGGCAGCAAATCTCGAGAGCAACATGTCACGGTCCCCCGTTCGGGATGACGCCAAGAGATTGCCTACGGCCCGAGGTAGGTTTGCTCTTGATTTAAAACTGTAAAAAATTGTAAAGTTCCTCCTTTTAATTTCTTTGAGTTGCGAAAACCTTGAAACCTTCCATCTCTTCATAATTCCGAACAAGTAAGATTAGGTACAAGCATTTGTGGGCTTGCATCATTCACCTAGTGTTTTTTTTAACACTAAAAAACAAATACACTTTTTTTTATTTTTTGCTGTTGTTTTTTTTTTCTTGCCATTTTGTGGTTGCGCAGAGGAAGTGACGGGCGGACTTGCGCAGCCGTTTAGTCGGCACTTGCAGTGCGGAAGTGCCTGATCACTCGGGACTCTGGCGGCGTAACCGCGGATGGTTGCACCCCAGCAGGGTTGCCGCTTCTCCTACGTAGTCGATTTCGAGGAATATCTTTTCTGCCCTCACCTTTCAGTTATCTCTAGGAGCCTTATTGTTCGCTCTCGTGCATTCTTTCCTCTCGCCATTATACTTTTAATTACATCAGTTTGCCATTCCGGCTTCTTTAAGTTTCCGAGTGAAATTATGGGGAAAAATTCCCCACTAAATTTAGCGGAAAAAATTCACCCTGTAAATTTAGAAGAAAAATTTTCCCGCTAAATTTAGCAGAAAAAATTCCCTGCTGATTTTAGCGAAAAATTTACCCTCCGAATTTATCGGAAAAAATTCTCCACAGTGGAAAAATTTCCCACTAAATTCAGCGGGAAAAGTTCCCCGCTATCTTTAGCGGGAAAAATTCCCGGTTAGATTTAATGGATAAAGTTTCCCGCTAAATTTCGTGGAAAATTTTCTTCGCTAAATTTTCGCTAAATTTAGCAGAGGGATTAGCAAATGTTTCAAAATACCCGTTTTCTTCTTTTGGGGGGGGGGGGGGGGGGGGCGGGGCGGGGCGGGGGGCGGGGTGGGGCGGGGGCGGGGGGGCGGGGGGCAGTAGCTTTTGTGTTTGTGCCGGTTTCCGAACAACCTCCCTGCATAGGCGGTTTCGGCACTGGCAGGACGCAAATAAATTAACACTGAAATTGAATAGCAATTACTTGTTCCCACTGCTGTTAACAAAACTGTATCTTTTTTTTAAAATCTTTTTGAAAAAATGGTTTTGAAGTTAACATGCGTCACCCAACGCCCGGAGTGGGGGGCTTCCTCAAACCGATCCCAAACCGCGCGCCCACCAGTGGTAACAGTTGAGGACTTGGTTGTGGCGGCCGGTGGCCCCTGAGGACCATTCTGGGTGTCGTGTTCTCGCAGCAGAGGGTGCCATAAGGCAAGTTCAAGATCCCGTGTAACTTGCCACTGCCAACCTTTTTTTTTTTTTTTTTTTTTTATTTATTTATTGCAGTAGATGAGAAGCGAAGAAGTTGAACTCGATCTTCTAATTGTTTCGCCTTCCCCTCCCTCTCGGCCAATGTGCCTACTTCTATTGTTGTGACGTGTGGGACCCTTGCTTGTTCTTTGCAGTTTTTCGCTAGTATCACTTGAAGAAGGGCCTCCAACGGACCGAAACATTGTGTATACCTTCTTGTCCACATACTTTTTTCAAGTAGCACAACCATATATTAGTGATTTCGTGTTCAAAAGACTATGCTAGTTTGCACTTTTTTTTTTTTCGGCTCTCAGTGGGGTTTAGGGGTAGCGACTAATAAAATTAGCTTATGGCCAAACAGTGATTTCGCTCCTCTTTTTGTTTTCCTCGCTTAATATTTGGCAAGTGTGTCCCACTAAGTCACTAACGGCAGTTCCTTTCTTCGGACCCCTCAGGCAAAACAGTCCAACCACCGTCGGTGCAGAGTCTCTTGCACCGGTATGTCAACTTGACCTTGGGCTCAGGGGAGCCACAGGCATTGCAGAAAAGTTCATGTGAGTGTGACTCATTTTATTTTTTTGTGTTTTCAGAAATCCTAGAAAGCGAACCCTTGAGCCAGTTTTGTCAAATCTTGGATAAAATAAAAAAAAAAAAAATTTAAAGGGACCATGAAACGATCTTAGACATCATTTTTCTGACTGCATATCGTTTATGGGATCAAAAGAAAACTAGCATGCGAAATAAGGAAGGCTAAATCCTAATTTTTTACATAAAATTTTGGCAAATAGTAGCAGGCAATGTCTTACACTCTTTCCCTCGAAAGCTTGCAACAAAGCTGAGTGTATGAATGGATGGATTATTAAATGAGTTCTGGAGAAACTTTCTGTAATGGATGGTAGCTTGTGCCACCTAGCAAAGTAACTGCAACATCCGCAGTAGCGGAGTATTTTTTTTTCTTTCTTCCGAGTATGTGAGTTGAATTTAGCCTCCTTATAGGATACGAGTAGTGTGTCACTTCAACTGTGTTCACAAACTATGAAATTGTCTATGAATACCCTCAACGGAAATTACCAAGCTCCATATCTGGTTGCATAAGCTGCAGTGTCAACGAGAGCACAAGAGGTTTCTCCATGCGAAATTATATTAAGGGTTTATATTACTTAGTTTCTAGCATTTTGTGTTTGCAGCCAAATCTGAACCTGCCATTCTGTATGGACTAATCGCAACTCCTTAGCCGGTTTTGGCGCCAAGCTGGTACATCCTTCGTCGGGCGAGTTCTCGTTTTGACGAGTGGGCGTCCCGGTGTACGGAACAAGGCCCATACTTTCACTATACCGAAGCATTTTAAGCTGCACTTCACTCAGCTGTGACATATTCATTGCCGTGGCATTGATCGCACAAGTTTCACAAACCAGCAAGTCCTACGAAGCAATTGGCGTTCATGGAAACCTCAGTGGGTGCCGTCATTTCGATGTCCTTGCGTCGAAATGTCGACGCAACGCACCGCATGGCTCACCTGGTATCGCTGCGCCGCGATACCAGGTGCGTTCTAAGGCTCTTCCCGCATGCTTTTCAATGGGCAGAAGGCGAACAAAAAGAGTTCGAAATAAGGACTTAACGCAGAAGGCTGCATTTCTCCAGCGCCTCATAATTTGACGAGCCTAGCACGAAAAGCATATTTTTTTGGCCATCCCACGTCCTGTTTTTTTTATCCGTAACATAGGTCTAAAGTATCAAACTGCCAAACTTCCGTTTCCAGTAGAAAGCCACACTTTATGCCACGGCCACGTGATCTCTCACATGTTGGTGGCCCGGAAGAAAAAGGAGGATGAGAAGAGGGTGTTTGCTTTCAGTGGAAACTTCATTTTTTGTCAGTTGTTTATTGCTGCATTTTTTCCTTGCTCTAATATAGTGAGACCTTTCTACTAACAGTGAGCGACAGAAGGACGAGGCTCGGCAATAATAAGCATAAAAAACATCCAAAGAAAAGAAAGAAAATAGGGCTGAGCGTCTGCTGGTCTTTTCGTCATTCTTTCGTTTTAGTGGGTTCGTCTAAGCATTGACCTCGTCCAACCCCCTCCCCCCCAACCCCTTTCCCAGCCTGCAAATTTCGGGGAAGGCGTCGGCCCCCCCTCATGTATGCTACTGATAAGGAGTCTCAAAGCCTTGCCAAGGAGGTGTCTTTTCAAGTAGTGTCGGCCACAACAGACAGGAGCAACACCTTGGGAGTCGCATTCTCGAGCATGAACACCTCGGTTGGCTGCTGGATGGAGTGCTCAGGGACAGCCAGCGGCAACTGATTCGGGGCATCTGCGTTCGCTATGCTTGTGCAAGGCCTGTACTGCAGCTTGTAGCCATATGCTGAAAGCATCAGCCCCCTACGGAGGACCCGTGGTGAGCAGGTCTCGGGCACCGGCTTGTCTGCTCCGACCAATCCCAGCAAAAAAAGGCTTGTGATCGGTAACCGCTTCTAAATTGCATCCCCACTGGCACTGCCAAAACGTGGTCCCACCGAAAACAAGGGCTAGGGCCTCCTTATCAAGTTGGCTGTAGTTGTGTTCAGCTGCCAGAAGACTTTGAGAGGCAAACACAATTGGCTGCTCAGCGCCTGAATCCTCACAATGAGCCAGGACAGCTCCAACTCCGTACGGAGACGCATAACAGGTCGACACGACGGCTTTCTGCGGGTCATAATTCACCAGCACTGCTGCAAACACGAGCAGCTCCTTGTTCCGACAGAAGGCATCTTGTTGCTCAGCACCCCCGGTCCATGGTGTCTTTGCCGCAAGGAGACGGTTCAACGGATGGTGCACGCTGGATAGGTTAGGCCGGAATCGACGGTAGAAGTAGACTCGTAGTCTCAGTCTTTTCTGGGTTTGGTTGGCACCCCGCGCCTGCTGGACGAGGCGTGGGGTTGGTGGGTTTCGGGGGACATGTTTCGTGGGACAGGGAGGACAGTAATGAGGGGAAGCGAGTCCTAAAGAGTGGGGAGAGTGGGAGGGCTGGGCGTCTTGGCTTGTCATATCGCTGCTGGGCAAGGAGGAGGTGCCCCTGTTGAGATGTCTGTAGGAGTTGGTGTTGTGCATGTTTATAGGTAGTGACGCAATCATCCAAGGTGTTAGAGGGGCTCTTGTCTGTGATGTAGTGTACGGAATGGATCCCCAAGACAAGTCTCGTGCGTTTTCGGAGTAGGATCTCTAGCTTGTTTCTTTTCGTCTGGGCGTGGCATGTGGTAGGTTGTACATGACCAAGGCCGGATTAAGGTACAAGCTGAAGTGGTGCCCAAGGAGAAAAGCATTCCACTTGCAGATGGATTATGGAACTGGTCTAGATCCAACTGGGATCAGTTTCATAATCCATCTGCAAGTGGACTGATTTTCTCTTGGGGCTGCAGTCTAGGGGCCTAGACTATTCGGAGGGGGGGGGGGGAGGAGGGGGGGGGGGTGCTGTCAATTGTGGCAAAACAATAAACAGGAACAAATATTATGAACAGAAAATGGGAGCAGGAAAAATAACACTTCCCAAAATGTGTAGAACGCATTTCCTACTTTTGACAAATAAGTTGGGCATTTTGTAAACTAGAGGGCTTACTGGAAAGAGGTACTGAAGTGAGCCGTAGCAGTAATTAGATTGCTGCATTCTTTTCATTTAGACGTAGTCATTTACTTGAAGTTACCGTCCCTTTCTGATTAGTAACATTGCTAAGGAAAGCAATTAAAGAAGGTAAAAATGCAAAAAATTAAAGGCAACTTACCGAGGTTTTCTGAAATGATTGTGTTAACTAATCATTTTATCATCATCATAGTCGTTGCCGCCATCGTCATCATCATGAGGGCTTCAGAGGCAACCTTAGCCCAGGGCCCCGAAATCTCTTAATCCAGCCCTGTACATTGTTGACGAGCGCCTCGACGTGAAAGCTGCAAGGTCTTTCTGGACGATCGACGAGACATTGACGTGCTTTGAATGCATTTCTAGAGGTTCAGTTTCTCCACGGGGAAGACTCTCCCTTTGAATGATGGAATGTTCTCAAACCAAACATATCTAGGAACCATTTTACTGTAGTATTACCGTGGTGTTCGTTTCTGTATATTGTATCTCTTGAAGGCATTGGTTCTTTTTGTATTCATTTGAGAGAGAGAGAGAGAGAGCAACTTTAATGGGTCTCCTGCAGTAAAATGGTTGCTTTGACAATAGTCAAAGCAACCATTAAGATTGCTTGCCATGGCTTCAACACTTTCTGTCACTGGCCTGCATTTTTCTGTGTTCTCGGTACTGCTGCTTTCGTCGACGCCTTAGCCGAATGGGGGTCAAAAAATAGCGAACAATGAGAGGTGCTGGCACTGTGCAACAAGCCAACAGCACGAAAGAATATAAAACCCTTGCATGCTTCCCCATTTCATAGCTTTTTACGACTCAATAACTGGTTTAGGGGTGGTTAATTGCGTCTAGTCTAGTTTCTGTACAAAATTATGTTGTGTCAATACTAGTGATTCTTATTGGGTAGGAAACCGTGTCAGTGCAGAAACATTTGATGTGCTTATGTATGCACAAGATAATGACAAGAGATTGTTGTAGTTAATATGAGAATGGCACTGTCCCAGCCACAGAGGTTCTTGTCACATATACTACCAAGATAATGGTTACCAAGATAATGACTACCAAGATAATGGCAAAACCTGTGTCGTTGGTTTCGTCCTCTTGTGTGTTCCTTTCGTTTTAAGTCAATTTAGATCACCAACACGCTGAAGTCTTTAATTAAGAGATCTTCCATTTCATGATCTTTTTAAAATACTTGAAGTCCCTGATTTGAGTGTTCCAGACTTTCTGCAGGATGCAAATCCTGTTCCTTTTGCCACAGCTGCTAGAAAACAAAATGTAATCTGCAGTACTGGTGGTAGTAGTACATACGTTTTGTTGCACTGCATCCCGTCCACAGACAGCTGCATCAACATTCCTCCGCGAGAGGAGGTGTCCTCGTTGGGTGACCTCCTGGACCACCTGGGGCTGTCCAAGTACCACCCAGTGTTCCAGGAACAGGGCATTGACCTAAGAACCTTCCTCACCTTCGGGGATTCGGAGCTTACGGAAGCTGGCATCAAGTAAGCATCTAGAGCTTTTCGTTACTGTAAATTTCTGATAAGCACCACGTCCAATCAGCAGTCCAAGAACGCTCTCACCCTCACCTTGCCCAAAATTGGACCTCAGTGGGAGTTTGTTGATAAGATAGTTATACTACAAAGTTTAATCCAGTATAGTACACTTCTCGTAGATCATACAAGAAGGGATGCACACAAAAGTTGATTCCGCATGTGCATCAATGGTTCTGGAGTGCTCAGACTTGCGCCAAAGAAAGTTTATGAGACAAGTTCCTTCACTTGTGGCCGTAACATCTTTCCACTGTCTAGGCAGCTGCTTGATGGCTACACTAATTTTCTCAACATCCAACCAGTATAATTTTTTTTTACTCTTCTTCGGTGTGAGCTTGGAATCCCCACTGTATCCACCCACTTCCTTCTGGGTCTGTGTTTGCGATCTGCGGTATGACAAGCATGTTTTTTTTTAGCTGTGGATTTGACGCTGAAATCTAATGTCGAATTCCACGGGTCATTTCGGAGCGCACCGGGATCGACTTTCCTGGAGCACGCCTATTTCAATAGGCAATTGAGGTCGAGACGGACGTGTTCCACTCATCGTTTTGGATCAGCTCCCACTCCAGATCTCTATCTGGATACGAAAAAAGTAGCTCTGCCGATTCTGGCAGGTTCGACCGGAGGCCAGCCTGGCCAACCCTCGGTGTGCGCACACGTGACTTCCTTTCTCGCCGGGCATTTCTCCTCGGGAGAATTCGTAATGGCTGCTGCCGAAGTACCGCCCCCTTTACTGCTGCTGCTACTTGATGACAGTTTGTCGTCAAGTTGCTCGAGCGGCTTCTCCAGCAGCAACGGCTCGAGTAGCAGCGACGACGAGGATTGCAGGAGTATTCTTATGAAGAGGCAATTTAGTGGAAAAATTTCCTCGCTAAATTTAGCGGGACAATTTGCCCACTAAATGTAGCGGAAATACTTTCCCGCCAGATTTAGCGGGAAAGTTTTTTCCTTTTGAAGTCACACGTGACGTCACGTGTGACTTCATTATGGGAAACATCCCATAATGCAACGTTTGGTTACGCCGACGCTGATGCCACTCAATCCAGAAACGGGCTCCTAAGAGCTACGCTCTAAAAGAAACGCAGAACCATATTTGAATAAATACACTAGCCAAGGCTGTTCCTGAGCAGCAGGTAATCGAAAGTGCAGCAAACTTTGACTCAACTCTGGTTCCAGTGCGGCTAATGTACAGTGTCACTTTTAAAGCACAAATTTTTATAATATTCGTGTGTGGTTGTTCTTGCTGTTTATGATATTAGATCTTTGAATTCGGTAGGTCTAAAAAACTTAGGGGAGGGGTTCATATCTTCATTGACATTTCAGTAGGTATGCTAGCTTTTGCTGACATTTTACAAGAATTACGCTTGCAGGCTAAGTAAACTGCAAAATTTAAAAAGGAAAGGGGGGAAAGAGGCTTTATCTCAGGTGAAGTGTAGTGCTTTGTTTCATTTTTCAACAAGATTCTTATTATGCATTGTAAATAGAATGTAGCTCGGGTGGAGCCTTATTTCTAAAGAGATGGCTCTGTTCCATCCAGTGATGCAATCATTATTTTGTTTTCGAGTGATGTGCATAATGCTAGCATGTGGATTGGTATCTGCTACAAAAGCGCCAGTGGGCACTCGTAACCAATATTTTGCCTGGTACAGAACCTCTTATAAAAAACTGGGGGACGCTTAGGCTTCACCTTTACAGGGGCATTGACACCATAAAGGTCATATTTTCTTTGTTGTCTAAAACGATGCAAGTTGAAATCGTAGACATGCAAAAAAAAAAAAAAAAACTCCCCACGCGTGCGCGCACACGTTTTTTAATTTTTGTTTTTTTTCTCTTCCACTCCTCACCTCCTCGCTTCTCTTGATTTGTGACGTCAAATATTATGAAATTTAGAGGCTTTGTAGGCTACATTTCTATAGCATTTAATAACGACATTTGTAAGCAGTGAGAGAGTGCAGGCGAGCTGGTAATCAATCGACATCTTGTAAACCCTGAGATGGGGAACAATAAAAAAACGGACGAACATAACAAAATCTCAAATCTCTTTGAGATTTTGTTGCGTTCGTCCGTTTTTTTATTGTTCCCCATCTCAGGGTTTACAAGATGTCATTTGTAAAAGCTTCTTTTTTTAACGCAATTGCGAACGCACTTTGGCCCTTCTTTTTGAAATACCGAAAATCAGAGTCCGGTGTGGTCTCACCTCCTGGCTTTTTATCCTCCTCTTTAAAAAAAAAAATGGTGGCGCTCGACACATGTAGCAAAGGACGATCTGTTAATCGGGGAATCGGATGAAGCGGTCTTTTTTAGGAGCCCGACGACCTCTCAGACTTCGAAAAGGAAATCATCAAACGGTCGAAATAACTGGGTTTTGGTGTCTGTATCATAGCTTCAGTTGTGACTCCATCGGGGCAGCCTTTCACGCAGAACCAGTGACGTGCCCCTCATGTCGCTCTCAAATATCCACTGTGCGTTTTGTTCGACCTTACACCGTTTCAAAGAATTTGAGGTCGCTGAAAGGACCCTAAAAGAACTTTAAACTCGAAAGCCAAGTGTCATCTGCTTGCGGCCAGTTGTTCGAGGGACGCCGGCGAACATGACACTTCGGAGGCGTCGGAGAAACTCAACTCGCAGGATGGATCAATATTTGACGTCACTGCACTGGCGCGGATCGCGCGGGAACTTCAAATTCGGCATTTGGAAATTGTTTTTTTTTACTTCTTAAATACTGAACTCCCAAGTTTTGAATTTTGAGGGTAATGCCTAAACATTTTTTCCAATCGTATCGGATAAAAAAATATATTTTGACGTGTTTGCCTCTTTAATTAAGAATGGAACGCGATAACGTTATCGGGCCTCTTCGCAAAGCCTTCTCATATAAACCTGCGCTCATTCCCAAGTCATGCAAACATGTGTGCATGGTCTAGTCACTAGCGTCACATGACGTCATGCTGCATGATGTCGCACGTGGCTGTGATGTTGCGACCCATCGACCCGCTAAATGTAGAAGCAATTTTTACGCTAAGCTTTGTGGGAAAATTTTATGCTAAATTTGACTTGAAACTTTTGCGCTAAATTTTGAGGGAAGATTTTCTGCTAAATTTAGGGGAAAACTTTTCCGCAAAATATAGCAGGTCTTTAGGGTCATGACGTCACAGCCACGTGTGACGTCACCTTTGGCGACGCACGTTGCATTGAATTTTGAGTCACACCGATGCTGGATTTTCTGGAACACAAGTTGCTTAATGTTTTCACATTAAAAAGGTTGAATACCGCTTCCATCTCTAAGACAGTGTTGTGAGGTTGTGATGTGTTCCTATCTCGAAACAATTTGGTTTTGGAGAAATTGTTCAATGAAGTGTTGGGACAGGTGGCATGTGGCGGTACTAGCAGCTTGTTTCATTTCCAGGTTGGTTGGACCAAGAAGAAAGATGTCTGTCGCCATTGCAAGGTGGAACGAAAGGGACCAGTGTTGCCCTTCTGCAAAAGCATCCCCAAGACCATCGTAGATTCGCTTGCTTATATTACGGAAAAACCTTTGATAAGTTTTAGAGAATTATTGACTAGCGAATATGTCAGGTCATTCTGGGCAGTGTGTTTAATATTTTCATAAATTTTAGTCCACTTTTTGTCATGATTATAACCTAAGCTTTTATTAACTGCCTCATTTTTATCCACTGGGATTTGTTTTGAATTTTGAATTTCCCATTTTATTTTAGGTATATGTCCACTTTATTGCCGAAATGTAAAAACAATTTGAGGTAGTTTGTTCAGCTTTTGGTGCCATATATTTTTTCACTGCATTTGAGTTCTGGCATTTAGATTTATGCAGGTTTTCAAGTCATTAATTGAGGAAGTCTCCTTTTGTTGTATACAAATTTTCAAAACTCAATTTTAATTTAACCTTCCCTCTGGTATTGGTTTTTCTGTTTGTGCTTTTTTTTTATTTCACTGACTTTGGTTATGCTTGTAACTATGCTGTTGCGTGTTATATTCGTAGTGGGCTGGTATCAGAAAGCCAAACCAATTTCTGGTGCAATAGGATATGGCATGCTATTTTTCTAGTAGAAAAGGTTTTGTTTATTCAGTCAGCAGTAGTAGTCACATTTGCTTAGTTCTTACAGAACAGAGCGATTTAAAAAAAGTAACCTTCGTAATATTTCTTATTGCATTCACATCATCAGAGTACTTCAACATAAAACATTTTGCTCTGGTAAATGTTTTATGGCAAGAAATCTTAATGAAATGTCTTTACACTTTTAGTGTTTACCGTTGTTTTACACAGTGAAAGATGGTGCTCTTTTTATGTAACTTTTTTCTGAGGAAAGGAAGCCTCCCATGTTGGTGGCCAAAAAGCATTAGCTACCCAGTCATTAAGAGACACTGAATGCCAAAAAAAAAAAAAAGCATTTTTTTGAAGTGCCTAGATATAACATCTATGTGTTGAAATGAGCTTTCCCTGGAAAAAATGTAATTGAGCGATATTTACACTGTGAGACACATTTTGATTTAGGAGCGATTCCATAACTGCTATTCCAAGGTTTATGTCTTAAAATTAAAGTTTGTTTTGGAATCGCGTTTATTTCAAAATGCTTCTTGCAACTGTCTTCAAATGTATATTATTCTGCATTTTTCCAGTGAAAGTATGCTGCACAATAGTCATTTTTTGTGCATAGTCAGAGTAATTTTTGCATTGCACTTTTTTGTGCCAGTCAAAATACTTCACATGCTTTCGTACTTGAATACAGCTCTCACGCCTAGTCAAGTTATGTGTAAACAGCTTCTCTACCTTTCACATTTTTTCACTGAGAAAATATTGGCTTTGCTTCATTGCACGCTTCAACAAGAATGTCTTTAAGGGCCTCAACGAAGGACAATGAAATAAAAGTTGCATTTAACAATTAATCAGACATATTTGGAACTTTTTCAATAATGTGAGTTGTTCATAATAACGAAACAAAAGTGCATGTATTTGCACAGTTGTCTGTGTTGTCTAGATAGTGAGGTATCCATATTAATAGGGTCCAAATTAATGAGACATGACTCAGCATGAAAGCTTCCTTCACAAATTGAAATTGTTTATACGCTGGTGATGTGTTTATTCTGAAGTGTGTGTTATGTCTATGAGCTGACTGTAAAAAATCCAGTTGGCTGTGCTAAGGCTAGTTCTACATTCATATCGCCAACTTTGCAGACTCACAATTGGTAAAAATATAGCATTTATTGTTTGCGATTAGTAGTTTGTTTCTGAAGTACAATATTTTTGTCCTAGTTCTTAGCTCACGAAATTGAGGTCGCTTCCGCCAAACGGGAAAAAAATATTACTCTACTGTGTTTTTTTGCATTGTCCCTAGGTTTACCATTTTTAGTAGGTAGTTAAAAAGAGAGTTCTGGTTTTGCTTCTTGGGTGTAGTTTTTTCATAGTGGAGTCACTTTTTTTTTTTTTTGTAAATAGAATCAGCTGTATTTTTTATGATGTAGTGCAATTACAATCATGTTATTGCTGAGTTGTTTGCACCAGTGTTTACCCGGTTAAATTCTGCTACATCTCGCGAAAATTTGATGAAACTGTGCTAACATTGCTCCAAAACTTAATTTTACTATACTGAAAATATAATTTGCTTAGGCCCTGTACACGGCCAGGTCGTTATGGTAGGCTTGTGCAAATTTTCACAACTTTATAAATTATTGCCTATATAATTTACTACTCCATTTGATATCTGTATCAAGCACTGAGAGTATACTTGGAAGTCTCGCAATATTTCTCATGTTCGTGGTCTGTTCTGACCAGTGGCATAGCCAGGGGGGGTGCTCACGAGTTGAAACAACACCCCCAAAATTTCACGGTTTTCCTCTTTTCCACTTTCCGGTGCCAGTCGTTTTCCTGTGCCTCACCGTCTCGACAACCCACTACGGCGAGGGGCCGGGCCCAACGTCACACTAAAAAAACTAGAAGCGTCTCTACAACGTCAACAGCGAGCGCACGCCACACAACGCAATGGCGAAAACACTGCGAGCCTGGCCGCTTTCGCCCGTGTAGCTTCTGCGCATGCGCGGCCTCCTGACGTCACAAAAGCCGCGACAACCTGACCTCGGCGTACGCTGTCCTCGCCTCGGAGAATGCAGGTAACTTGACTAAAGTCCCCCTATAGACTGACGCGCGGCGCAGCTCTGTTTACAAACACGGCCGGAAGGCCGCGCATGCGCAGAAGCTATGTGGGCAAAAGCGGCCAGGCTCGCCGTGTTTTCGCCGTTGTGTAGCATGCACTCACTGTTAACGCGTTGTGTAGCGTGCGCTCGCTGTTAACGTTGTAGAGATGCTTCTAGTTTTATTTGTGCATCATATTTCCTGTCAGCGTATGTTATATGTTATGCTTGACGATTTGAGCTCACTACCCTAGCCTGAACGGCAGCGGTATCGAGACAAGCTGTGCGTGGACGGCGTTGCCTTAGACGATCCGTGCGCTGTAAACAAGGCCTTCTGGAGTTCTGACATGAAGTTGCTGCCACCGACGTCGATGGCTCATATCGTTGATTATTTAATTTTTTCGCCAAGCCATTTCATGGCCGACACGGTGCATGCGTACAGGTCTCTCGAGGCCTACAATTACGTAGAGCCTCTTTCCGTGCTGTTGGCGGGATCAGCACAGTGGATCAGCTTACTGGGGGTTTGCGGAAGGGAATTTATTAATGGATTAAATACACACAGAGTCCTTCGAGTCAAGGTATGATATTTTTCTTACCCTAATGACCACAAAGGATGACAAGCGGCAACGCTTTTTCTATTCAGCCACCGGTCTTCTCCTGCTTGGTAGCACGGGCGTATGAGCAGTATTGTAGGCGTTACCGAAATAAAGTAACGAGTTACGTTGCTCGTTACTCACAAATAAAAGGAACACGTCACCGTTACCGATAGAAAGTAACGCACATTGCTTTTGCATTGCTTATTTATAAATTAACAGTAACAGTGTTTTTTTTTTTGTGGTTTTTTTTGGCGACAGCGTTTTTTGACAAAGAGCATGGCGTTTGACTTTTTCTGAAGTGGGACTTTTTGCGTGGGAAAAGACAAAGCAAAATTTTGAAGGTAGGTGGAATGTAGTGCAATAATTGATGACTCGGCGCCTATACTTCGTTTCAGCCCAAGTTTAGACGCAGCCGAAGCTACGAGCTAATCGGACCAATCAAGCAGCGTGAAAAAAGCAAGTCACTTGGCCTTTTCTGTTCAGGGGTAGAAGCGCTGCGCCAATTGCGCCACCCTGTGCCAATTCACTTCCGTGCGCCAGCCTCCTCCAAAACGCCAATTTCAGCTTTTTTTTTTTTTTAGTGTTTTCTCTAAATTTAGCGGAAAACAGTCGGCCACTGGCCACCATGTGGTGTGTACTTTTGTTTAGGTGTCAGTGCGGGTGACTTGTACCAACTTGACTGGGGCTCCGAACCACACGTGACGGTTTAACCGCAGGGCGAGGCGTCTATTTTAGTTCATCGAGAGTGAGATGTCAATTTTGACTACAAAGAGCTTGATATACGAACACATCGGTTTGGTTTCGGGCATAGTTGGTTGGCGCGGTTGGAGCGCCCATGCAGTTGCCCGTGGTCCCGATTTGCCGTGATCGTGGGAGTTGGTGCCTCGGCACAGGTGGGCTACCTCGGCCATCAACATGAGCAGAAGTAAGTGGTCTTTACTAGCTTTACCTGTTGTTTGGTAGCGTACCACATTTTGGCGCTTAGCCATTAAGAAACACTTACTATGTTAGTTACGTTTGTTTTTCTTTGCAAACGCAGTTAAGAAACACGTGCTATGTTAGTTTCGTTTGTTTTCTTTGCGAGCGCATGCACATGCGTCAACATGAGTAAAAATAGTAAATGGTCTTTACTAGTTTTACCTGTTATTTGGTAGCGTACCATATTTGGACGCTTAGCCGTGAACAATCGCAAGCACAGGCACATGCATTCTCGAGTTCAATTTGTCTTGTCAAAACGAAACCAAAACCATCATTGTATGCGTGAATGTGCACGCTGTCGTGTGTTGTCTCCCGCCGTCGGACCACTGGCGAAAACAATACCCGCGATCTTAAGCGAGTTGGTTAATTGGCAGTTCTACACACTTTTTTGTGTCTTTCCTATAGCGTGGAGGAGTGGGGGTTACATCAGAAATGCCTTACGACATTCCCGCGCTGCCGATTCCTGTCGTGAACGCACCTTAACTTGCTATAGCCAGTCTACTCATACAAGTTTCGGGTATAGGTGTATCTGGTTGAGGGGGGTGGGGGAGTTGGGTAGAGAGAAGCTGGTGGTCTTTTTGTCACGTAAGAAGGCAGCCTGCCCCGCAGGGACCAGGGCCTGATCAGCTACATCTCATTTTCAGTCTCGTTCAAACTGAGCTGGCACCAATACCCGAGGGGCTATTGCCATCCTGCACCTCAATGTAACTCAACATCACTCCCCAAGTCATCATAATCGCTCGGCAGCATTCACCTCCCACGAAAAGAAATTAAAAAAATATTTTCTTTATATACATTGTAGTATGGTATGCAAGTGTGCAACAGTAAATACTTGATAGTTTTGTTTGCAGTCATGTTTTGATATTTGCGTTTTCCACTTGTTTCAGAACGGTGCACCAAATTTAATGTGGACTTGCTGACCAAGAAGGACGGCAATGGCGTGAGGGGCGTGAGGGCCATGACTGAGTGAGGGGCATGAGGACTGTGAGTGGCGTGAGGGCGGTGAATGGCGTGAGGGCTATGAGCAATGGGGATTCAATTTCTGTTCGTTGTCGACCAAGCTCAACAGACAGTGATGGCTTCTGCGTACTCTGCATTGTGACTGTGCACTGTTTGCAACATGGTACCTCAGCAATAATGCGCCATGCTGGTTCTCAGAAACACATTCAAAACGCTAAGAAAAAGCGAAACGGAGAAGGAGTCCTCACCAAGGACTTCATAATCCAGGGCACCCTGGATTTTCACAAGAATGCGGCATCACTGTCATTGCGAGAGAATGTCACAAGAGTAGAAACACCTTTTGCTCTCTCCATGGTTGCAAATTCTTTTCCATACACTTGGGCAAATGTGGCAACCTTAACGTACCCTCACATGTTCCCTGATCTGCAAATCGCAAAAGGCTTCCAATGTGGTTGCAAGAAGATTTCATACATCAATTCTGATGGCCTGGGACCGTACTTCAAGGAAAAGGTGGTTCAAGGGTTTGTTCAACCAGAGGTGTTCTATAGCATCATGATCGACGAGACCCCAGTGCCTGAGGCCAAGGTGCAGCAGTTGGATGTACTTGCTCGCTTCTACTCTGTCAACACACAGAATGTAGTTGTGGAGCACCTGCAGTCATTTCATTTGGGACATGCTACTGCAGATGAACTGTTTTCTATCTTTCTTTGTGTTTTTCCACTATCTTTCTTTGTGTTTTTGGGACGGCTTGAGCAAAGAAACACACCCCTTGAAAAAATTTACTGGCTACGCCACTGGTTCTGACGAGTTAGTTAGTCGAGCATGCGCTATATTCTCACTCTAGAAATATTTTCTCGAAATATTTTGGAGTGAGAAAGAGAGAGAGAAAGAAGGCTTATAAAAGAAAAAGTATGTTCAGAATTATTCTTTTTTAAATTTATGGCAGAGCGTGGTTTTAAGCTTTAAAATGGCTGGGAAACGACATCACTTAATAATTGAGTAAAAATCTGTTTTTTCTAAACGCTTCACAATTTTTTTTTAATTCAAACTGCTTTTAGTTGCTATGTTATGATGATAATGCAAGTTTTTACTGTTAAAATATTTTTAAAAATCTTAGCAAAATGCAAAAGATTGAGCACTTCTCAGTTTTTTTTTTTTAATTATCACATTGCACCTTCCAATAATTTTGTATTGACAACCCTTTTTTAATTCAAACAAATTTTA